CAAACACGTCGACATTTTGTATGGGAGAATTAAGTTTTACGACCATCATAATTTACCCTTTACTGGTTGGGTTCCTAATCCGCCAATGGCGTTGTTAACACTTTTGGCAGCTGGGAAAACTTTCCAATGCAATTGGCCGGTGGAAATTCAGGCGCCTACGGATGTTTAAAACAGCTTTTTTCAGTGCAACACCTAATATTTACGTTTATTCGAGTGAATACTCCGATTATTTACTATCCTGCCACATCTGTATCCGACACTGTACCCTAGCAGTAATCCACAGCTGCGATCTGGTTTAAAGTTACGTTCCAGAGGGTTTTGTGATATTCGTGCAGCTGTAACATCCTTCCGGTGCTTACCTGCTATGCCATCCGAAGAAAACACGAGGGCTGGGGTACAACCAGGTTGCCCAAGCCTATACAGGGGCAGGCGAGATTCACAGGCTGGGTTCGAATATCAGACTTTCCGGTCAGTGAATTCGCGCTTGAACCACCGAGTCATCTCGACTGTTTTGTGACATTCAGTCGAACCTGAACACCCACTTGTAAGAGGGTTATTAATAGGGGGATTCAGCTTGCTTGCACAACAAAATAAACTGGGATCTATTAAATACGAATTTAGTTTGGACTCATTCATCATGGTGTTAGCCCCATATTTTGATGGCTTGACTCTCTTCGAACAAATGACATTACTGTCTTGGAAGGTTCTTTTCTACCACAGAATGGTGCAGTACTGACAGTGCTAGGTGTACCAGCTGTTTGGCATGACAATTAGGGAATAAGCCCTGGTCGCTGCCGTGTTACGCTAGTGTAACTCTTTTTTACGTATTGTGAGGGATATTGTATATATATATAATTCGTTTGTTTCGGGATCGACTAGAATCCTATCATTCTCTGAAAGAGGCTGTTGAGTTAAGCCGCGAATCATTTGATTTTTGTCAGCCATGTGCGGCTGGCACACGGTCCGATTCATATCATTAGCGCCTACCGAAACGAAAACCCTCCCCCGTTGATGTATTTCATTTTCTTAAATGGGGAATTGTCTTAAGTCGTCTAGTAAACAAAGTCAGGAAAACCCATTTGGTTCTCCATATTGAGTCACCATTTATTCTGTTCAAGTCGTTGAGCTGTCGTTTTAGCGCTAGTAGCTTTTTTTTCTTTTCTGCTTGTACCTGTTGTACGGTTGGTGTCTTAGTAACAAGCACACAGACTTGGCCTTTCCTCGGAGGGAATTAACAACTAGGTCGTGACTAACAAGGATTTTTTGTTTCGGATTTCTGAGGCTCATTATTAGATTATTATTGATTTCGTAAATCTTTCAGAATACTTCTTGTATGTGTAGAACCAGGAACTGTTGTGTCTGCATCCACCAGTTATATTTTGATTTGCCTAAGACTTTATTTGGTCAAACTCCACTCTATCGAATTACAAAGTATGGTCTAAATGTCAATCAGTTGTGAAACGTTTTTGGACTATGAACCTTGGTTGGTAAATGTTCAGACGTCGTTCGGCTCAAATGATGCCTTCCAAATAAAATGAAGGAATTTTTTGTGCTCGGCGACACTTGTAGTATAAATAGCCCTTTTGGATCGACCAACTCCAGCCCTTGAATTTAAGGACCCTAGAAAAGTCACTTCTCAGCTTGAACTCACTTTTTAAGGTATGTCTTCTCTAAACAGAGAAATATAAACAGGCATTTATGTTATCCTGATGGGTACCCGATCCTTATCTCTCTCTCTCTCTCTCTAGTGAACCACATGGAAAAAGTTGTGTCGGCTGATCGATGGTTCGTACGGTGTGCGTTTTTTGCCACCACACCATCCGAGCTTGGATCTGTAAAGTATCAGAACGAAGATAAGTCGCTAATGTACGGTTAACTCAGCGTGCAGTGCGGCGCATGCAGTGTGTGCTGACAAAAAGCACAGCACAAACAATCCAACTCAATCAGTCGCTCGTGCGTATGGTTCATATGTGCACATTTACACCCGAGTGTGTGGCACAAACAGTAATTAGAAGCTACAACGCGAATGCGGGAACACCGTGAACCGACGAGTTCTTTCCATGAATGCTCTGGGACAAGTGGGATGTTTCTCAAAGAGAGCAAAAGCTAAACGAAGAAGCACCTTTGCACACGAATACCTCGGTTGCATAAGACTTGTCTGCTATCGCACTCCTAAAATCAATATCCTGAAATTGCTGACTCAAACGTAACTCGACCTTTTCCCTCTAAACCGCGATTCATCTAGCAACGTCCTTGAAAAACTCATAAGCGGGAAGTTGATAGATGTCTGTTTATCGTGTCTGTCTACGCCTCAACCGACTGTAGCTCCGACATCGTCAAAGACACGTTTTACGACCCTCTGAATGCCCTGCTGCGGTGAGCTAAAAGCTCAGACATCGTGGTGGTTTCCGGAGATTTGAATGCACGAATGGGCAGACTTAGTATATCTGAGACTCGATTGGAAGGTCGGCATGGATTGGAATCGGTACGTACGGACAATGGGGAACGATTGCTCCTGCTGTGTGCTCATGGCAGGCTGTTTTTATGCAGTACTAACTTATGGCCACATGGTGCCCTCCAACGACAGGCCGGCCACAAACTCACATCGACCACACTGTCATCAGTTACTGACGGCGCGGATAAATAACTGACTGCCGGTCGTTTTCGAACACATTTGTGGACTCTGACCACGCGCTCGTCCGGAATCGCTTCTCCCTACGTTTTCCAGGGCCGCGTAAGGTGCGGACAAACCGCTTGGCAACTGAGAGACTGGCAGATCCGGATGTCAGACGAATTTACCAGAATCATCTAGAATCTCTTCCAAGTGCTCCACCATCAGATGTGGACTCATACTAGGAAGAGATTACCACCTCTTTGCATAGTGCTGGGAATTTCGCCTCTGGCACCACCCAACCAGGCTCACCCAAGCACTGGAACGGTGGCACTGCTTGAATCTCGGAGAAATATCCCAGCCGGTCCCAAACATGACCCACTGCGAAGAGTTCTCAGACGTCAAGTGAAAGTGAGCGTGCGAGTTGACCGTGAAATATGATGGACACAGAAAGTCAAAGAAATGGAAAAGGCCCAGAAAGCCGTTAATGACCAAAGATTATTTCATTTGATCCGTTCGTCGAGTCCCAGGAAACCACCTATGAGTGAAATCATCAAGGATCTGAAGCGACTGACTATCTCGCATAAACAAGAATGCCTCAACCGTTGGGTTGAACACTTCAAACAGTAATTGTCATGGCCACCAAATGGCACTCATCTGGAACCCACAGGTGACGTAGAACCCTGGACGGTGAACGTAGAACCGCCTACGGCCTCGGACGTTTCTGATTGCTTATGTTCTCTTAGGCGCCGCCGAGCCTCTGGTCCGGATGACCTTTCACCCACATTGTTCAATGATTGGGGTGAATTCATCAGTCAACGCTTGTCTGATCTGTTTTCTTGCATTTGGGAAAAGGAGTCTGTCCCAGACAACTGTGGAGAGTCGGTGGTAGTGCCCATTTTCAAAAAAGAGATCGTAGTGAGTGTAGCAGCCACAAGGGGATCAGCTTGACCCTAGTCGTAACGAGACTGCTGGTGTCACTTGTGCTTCGTCACTTTACAGTGGCTCGTGAAACACTGACTCGAGAGCAGCAAGCGGGATTCCGGCCTGGTAGGGGTTGCGTTGGCCAAATCTTCACAGTTCGTCAGGTGCTAGAACAACGCTGTGAGTATAAGTGACCCACAATTCTAGTGTTCCTGGATTTCCAAGGCGCATTTGACCCGATTGACCGGTCTGTGTTGCTCGACACGCTCGTCAACCAAGGAGTGCCCCGGAATTTCGTGAACATAATGAGTTCTTAGTGTTCCCAAACTTCTGGACGTGTGAGAGTATACGAAAAGCTCTTCAAAAGTTTCCGTACATAAAGTGGTGTCCGTCAGGGATGCCCACTCTCCCCATTCCTGTCTAACCTTGTGATCGATTAAATCATGGGACGAACGCTGGAAGCTTTCCAAAACCCCGGTGTTAAAATAGCCTGTGACGAAAACCTTGTCGATCTGGAATACGCAGACAACATCGTTCTCATCTTTGAAGAAAAGGAGAAGGCGTGGTGTTTTCGGATGAACTTACCAAATTCATCCCGTCCTTCTGTATGCACTTTGTGCCCACAAAGTGTAAAGTGATGCTTCTGGACATGCAGTCACTGTATACGGCACTTACAATCCAGGGAGAGGCACTAGAAGTTTTGGAGCGTTTAACCTATCTTGAAAGTTGTATTAGTTCCAGCTGTAGTGTGACAGATGAATGCACGATGAATGACGGATGTCAATGCACAAATCTGCAAGGCTCGGGTCGCGTTTGCTAATTTGAGACACCTATGACGTCAGAATGGTTTATCCCTGAATCTCAAGGCACGTGTGTATCAAACTACAATACGGACTGTTTTGTTGTATGGCTGTGAGACCTGGCCTGTTCGAGCAGCGGAACTGAGACGTCTTCAGGTGTTCGACAATCGTTGTCTCAGAACCATAGCTCGTGTGGGTTGGTGTAGGCGAATCCGTAATGAGGCAGTTAGAAAGCGCGTTTTTTTGTTGTACACTTCCATTGAAGTGTGTCCAGCACCAGAAGTTGCGTTGGTTGGAACATATGTTGCTTATGCCCAGCCATCGTTTGCCGAAGAGAGTGCTGTTTTCTATGCCCAACTCAGAGTGGCGGAAGCAGAGAGGTGGCCAACTTTTGAGCTGGCAAAGGAGTATAAAGGAGATGACGAAATGTTTGGGTGTTGTCGGTGTTACTCGCCTTCCAGGATGTGGACCACGTGATCCTCACTGTGGCTGGTTGTAGACTCTACAAGATATGGCTGCCAACCGATGTCAGTGGCGTTCTTGTTGTCAGTTTCTATCCAGATTGCCTAAGTGAATGTCTGGAGGTGTAGACATCTCGGAATGAGTGTGGTAAGCTAGCACCAAGTCCCTTCTCCATCCACCTTTATTCTTTTATTTACAATAAGGCTTTCAAATAAACCATGGTTGTACGACAATGAAGCATCGGTGTTGAACACGGATTTCATGCTGTCAATGATGATTATGATGACGGTGAGCAGTGGATTCAACGATCCTATTTCATTTGTAATAATGGGCCGTTGATGAGGCATTCAATAATTGTAGTCCCCGTTTGCAGCATGTGTCTGATGCATTTCTCCCTTTATGAAAGCAGCTCGCTTCCACATGTATAGCTGACAAATTGTTGAATATATGTGGTAGTTAACACTACTCAGCCTTCTGTTTCAATTCTTTTAGTCGATGTTACTGCACGCTTACAAGCAGTGTCAATTTCTGCACCGGTATGACCTTCATGTTCAAAGGTAGCACTGGAACTTGAATGACTTGCATATCTTGGTGGTTAATCGGACGCTTTTTTGAGAAGTCGGTGTACCTACCAGATGCGAAGGATGCTTGCCATTTCACTCTACCTGTTGATTCCACTGAGTATATCACTGTTCCTCAAGGACAACACAGGGATATGTTTTTGACCGCTTGATTCGGTGGTTCTACCGTTGTTTGTAAGCGCTATTCCTGGGAACCGTCAAAACTTTGAAGCCGAATCAAGTTCAGTTCACATTCGGGCCATCAACAGTCTGTAGAAATACACTCAGTGGTTGTGTCGCTGGCAACATTGTACAGTCTACACTTTGATCGGGAATCGATCACCAGGGTTTTCCTTTTGTATGGTAAACATGGTGCCTTGATATAAATGTTTCGATGATCGACGCGAACGTGTGGACTCTAGGCAGCTCCTGATTTTCGTTCGTTGGCACACCCAATAACTGTGCAAATCGACGACGTGGTCTCGTACGATATTTGGACTTATATGAAACTGAATGATCTTTTTATGTTTGTGGTCTTTCCCCGTCGTTTTTATGTCTCAGAATTGCGCTTCAAACGATGAATATACCCAGAGATCATCTGAAAATTTGAACCGTTACATCTGGAAATTGCCATCAGCCCCTTGAAACCCCATTTCGCGTTTTTCCGCTTCCAGGATTTCTTCGGGAAATTGGATTGCTCCGTATCGCTCCTGTATTTTATATGGACGATGCTGGTCTCACTTGATTTAGGAATTCGTTTGGAATTCTGTAGACTTTTCTTGAGACCACCCTCTTTTGGAACGGATTCCTCTAGTCTGAATTCGCGTGTCTGATTTTCGTTGGCAGAAAAACCATTCTTGACCACCGGTTGTTGAAAACCCTTCAGCTATTTATGCACAGTTTCGCCCTTCTTGGGTCCTATCAGTTGGGAGGGTTTCCGAACTTCCGTCAATCTAATATTCTACTTGGACCGAACTTGGACGTAGTTCACGAAATGCAGTCATTTACAGCACATTTTATTGAAGAAGAGAAATTTAGCTGAGTTGAGCCCCTCGCGAAAACTGAATTAGTCAACACAAGTGTGTGTACCTCGCGAATTCCCGATGATATTTGACTTCGAAGAGCTTATCTTGTGTGTCCAGTTCCTTGAACACCCAACGCGGAAAACCCACGGGACCTCGTAAGCAGCTAGTGGCTGGAGGACGATAATGCAGACCCTAGAGGAACTTCGTGCTATAAGTTTTGTAACTCAACATGTCAGTCGTCATTCACAAACATTTGAAAATGAAGCAACCTGGGTACAAGACTGTTTGCTTTTTTTTGTTAAGTCATGGATGGTGATTGAGTGAGTTGTAAGATGCTACCGGCTCACAACCAGCGTTTCGCTTTTTCATACATACAATCGGGAACTATCCTGAAGACTGCGAAACTATCCTGAAGACCGCTTCACTTCTCTGAAGCCTGATTCTCCTCTTCCTCTTGATGGTCCACACCGGAGTAAATTTTCAGTTTCTAAAAGGAAACAATAATCATTTGGGAATCTTTTCTTCAACTGACCGGTAGGATCTGATCTCACCGCAAAAAATTTGTTTTGGACTGTTGCTTCACCTAAATGCGTGATTCCCTGCTGGTCCATTTGGTACAACTTATTGGTACTCCAGGGGAGACGAAGTGTATAATTTGAACTTGCAAGAGTATGGTGTGAACCGCATTCGTTCTTCATCTGTCTTCAACAGACGGTGCCCATCTGGTTGCCACTGGGATATAGTCCATTTGGGAAGCAGTGCGATCGTCATTGGAAAAGCAGGTGAGAATATGCCCTCTTGGACGCTGGAAACGTGTGCTGGATATCACGAGTCGAAGGCGGCATAGCCAATCGCCGTTTTCGCAGTGTTGTCTCAAGCTGAACTTTCCAAAGATGTGGTGGCTGGCGTCAGTTCTCGCATTCCGATCGCCAGAAACCACCGGGAGGTCGCGGTTGGTCCTTCTTTGTAGTTTATTGTAAAAGTCTTCTTTGGCACAGTGGTCTGACGAAGAAGTGAGAACCTAGATGTTCATGACAGTCAGTATCACTGGGGAGCTTTTGACATGAGTTGTCCTAATCCTGGACTATGGCGGCTCCAAATGGAGTTGGACGTCTTGGGCACGCTCGCGAAGAGCTACAGCCACGCCATAAAGGCCAGAGTTATCATTTGGGCCACTTCTGTAGACTTCTGGCATTTTGACGAGTTGTGAATCGAAAACGGGAATCTGTGTTCCTGAGAGGCGTGCCTTCTCAACCTGGCAAATAAAAAGGTGTCCCACGCCAAGCTGAGTACGGACATTCCAGCAGCCTATATGCAGTGCGTTCATGATTTTCAGGGAAGATGATTGAGACCCTATTTGCACTTATGTTACCACTACGGCTGAGCGAGCATCGGGTCCTCGCCTACGGGAGACGCGATAGTGTGAACGGAGTTTCGTATTCAGGATGTATTGAGGGAGGAAACGTATACAAACTTTTGCCTACTCATAAGTAGTCTGGTACATCACAAACGTTACTACTTGGACGTTTTCGGGCGAATCGTCTCTGCTTGTAGTAGCAGTCCGACTGGTCGGAGAGTGGCAGTAAAGGAACACTGCTCTTCACTGTTCTTCACCACATTGCATTCAGCCTGGCTAAAGAACAAGCCTAACCGACACTGTTACCACCCACAACATTGCAGCACATCAAGCCCAGTGAGGCATTTTCGGTTGGCAACTATACTAGCCTTTATCATCTGGGCTTCTATTGTTTAAAGTGAAAGCACAAAGCTTTTGAATAACCACATTTAATAGCCTAGAGCTGCTGACTAAGGAATCATATGGCTGATTCCCCTACATTGATGTGACAAGTCCTAATTAGCTTAAGTATCTTTGTTTGGCTGAGATTTTCAAGATCCGATTGTAGCTTTCACAAACGTACGTTCTATAGAAGGCGGACGAAAAACATCCGGGAACATTCTGTAATCCTGCGCGTTCCAGCCGCCGTTTCCACACAGAACTATAGGTGAATTTAGGGTTTGGGAGGAACACTCTCTAACTTACGGATGGAGAATATATAGGATGGAACGATGGTTCCCAATTTATGGGGTTTTACTGTACGGAAGGACTATCTGACTGTTTTATGAAAGGCACACAGGGATGTAGTCCATCAATTATGTGTTTTGGAACCATGTTTTGGCGTGCTGCCTAATTTCTACAAACGATGATCAACAAACCTTTCCGAAAGATAAGAGTTAAAAATGAGAAAGCTGAAGTCCCTGTTGAATACAAGAAACTCGCTAGTTTTTGTACCATGGTGATTTTTTGTCAATAGCATCTCGATTACTTATCGAGAACGCTCGTTACAGTGGTATGTATTCAGTTCACGTCGTTATACCCAAAAACGCTTCTCTTTTTCTTTTAGGTTCGCAACGGTCTGTGTTTGTCGTCCGCCATCTTTCGACGAGCTATCAGTTCGTTAGCTCTAAGAGACCACCAATCTATCCTTGTCGTTCCGTTGTGTGAAGGGTTACCAGTTCATTTGCCACCGAACTTTGAAGAAACCACAAAACATTTGGAAGTACAGTTTGCTGCGGAATCTAAACATTTCATAAGAAGACGTCATTCATTGCCCCCAACACGACGTGCGGAATATGCCGGACAACATAAACTTGATTATCTGGATCAAGTTTTGCAAATGCACACTACTAGAACTGAAATCCAAATAGCAATTTATCTGTTCGCGTTGGAAGTTTGTTTGGGTTTGTCTACTGCCACTTCCTCTGCGCGTGCCCTACTTGACCTTGGCTGTGGTTCTATGCACGCACTTGCCCCAATAAGATCGGTACTGCAGAGTAACTCTATTTTTTCTATTGGTATTGATTTGCCAAGTTCCAGTCTACCAGGCGATGGCTCAAATAGAATACACTGTGATCTTGTTAAACCCCCTGTGGTTCCTGTGCGTGACGCTTGTATGGATTTCATATTGTCCATATCTTTCTTACAATGGTTGACATCATATACGATGAAAGCTACGTACCCGGCGAAAGCCATCATTGGAGACATCGCCAGAATACTCAGACCGGGTGGACAATGTGTAATACAGTTTTATCCATTGACTAATGACGAACTGGAGTTAACGTGCAAGTGCTTGGTCAGTACCACACCTCGTTTAGCCGGTTGTCGAATTTTGGCCAGACCAGTCCCTAACCGTGGAGTCAAGATTTTCCTCTACGTCCAGAGAACTTCAGCCTAGACAAGACGGAGCAATCTCAATAGCAGTGGTCAAAGCTCATTACTGGTGTGAATAAGAGCAAGTGGCAAGGTAATGACTCGAGGCGCTATTGCCGTGCCGTTTTATTTTTGTACACATACTTACGAAATAAAAGATGCAATAAGCTATCTTTTACCTTGCTGTTGGGCTCTGCAAATGGCCATTAGCTTTAATCGGCGGGCTTATGGGTGCGCCGATTGATCGTTTTTCAATGAGTCAGCAGATCCGACTAATTGTCCTAACAGAATAGATCGAAACGGGGAGTGGGCGAGATGGTTCAGTGGTTAAAGTGTGAATTTACTGACCAGAAGGTCGGTGTTTCAAACCCGACCTCTACCTCTCGAATTCCCCTCTCTAGACTTGAGCAACCTGGCATTATCCCAGCCGTCGTCCTTCATTCCGGTTGCATGGTAGTTAGCCATCGAAATGGCGCCACAGATGAACGATACATTGACTGGCTCTCATTGATACAAGGAAATACCGTCAGTCGCAGACAGGTAGGAGTTGAGTGTCAGTGATGCCACTAGTATTCTTGGCGTCGATTACCATCCACCTTGTCTGAGTGACCATTCGGAAAATTACTGCGGTATGTTCAGACTGATTACCTCCCTGTCGACTGTTTCTTCTCCCCTAGGGCCTTTTAAAATGGGTTTCTATGGCTGTATAGCAGTACTGGTGCTACTTACTGTGGTGCTAATACGAGTGAGTCGTGAACAACCCAGTTCGAGGAAAGCCTGAACGGTTTGACATTTCGATTAATGCTAATGACTTCTACAGACGATTAATTCCATATTTTATGTTGCTTCAGTGCGAACGTCACTGATGGCTCATCCATGCATTAATAAAACTACCTTAATCCTGCCGTACAAATGCTCGTTCCCGAGCAGGCTATGGGGTAATAACCTGGAATTAGTGCCTATTAAGTTAGAGTTCAGATTGTTCTACTCTGTGCAGTCATGAACACTCCTCCATTAACAGGAGTGTTATTAGTAGGTCACCGCGAAGTGGCGAGATTAAAGTCTGCTATCGTAATTTTTCGATGGTGGTGGGTTTCGGTGTTGATAGAGTGTAGAGGGAGTTCTCAGGTTGTCTGCTTGCGATTCCGTGTTCACAATCATCCGTAGGAATCTCATAGCTAGGTAACACAACAGCGTGAACGTTTCGTCCGTCACAAACAATTAAGGAATAGACATTGTTGCTGGTATGAGATGATTCCCAATAGGAATAAAACAGTTGTGCTGTGCTTATCGGTTTTTCAGCATAGATTAGCTTCGTTTACAGGACTGTTAAATTGATAATGTGTCGAAAGGTGAAATTTCACCGAGCACTCCCAAATGAGGACAAATTTACACAAATCTACAAGCGCCGTTAAGATTTCCATAATCGTGGTTGTGCTCTCCTTTTAACGGCGCCGGATACTCTTCCCCGTCTTTGCCGCCAGAGCATATTGTGAGGTCCGCTGTAGTCAACACTTCGCGTTGACCATTTTTAGCAATCGGTGCATCACCCGATGGCACTAGTTAGTACCCCGCGATTAGGAAAACATTTTCCAGCAATGCGAGACAGCTAGTGTATTTAAGCACACTCACAAGGACAACACTCATCGAAAAATAATACTGAACTAATTTCACCAAATCCACTAACAGTGAAAGACACCAGGCGCTGCTGACAGGAGCTCCTCTGGCATTGTTCATTGAATGTCACCGTGCCTTGGCGAATGTCTGCCTGGGTTTGAAATAGTTGCGGGGATCTATGGCCTTGAACATTGAGATAGACTATAAAATGCACATTAAAATATAGTATAATCACAGAAGTTCACACAATCGACTGGTTCTACGCGAAATTCGTTTGGCTGGTCTTGCTCGAATCATGTGTGGGGATTTCGCTGACTTTGCTGAACTGATAGCCAGACTTGTCACACGCAGTGAAGTTCCTTCACTGCTTGGAATTTTCTCATGTGCATCTAGATTACTGAACCGGCGGGCTCTATAGTAAAAAAATAAAATGAGTTGTTGGTTAGCTTGGGATTTTGGTGCTTCATGAACGTCACGTGCTTGGGTTTTCTACCGCTTAAGGCGGTATATTAGTTAGAAATATCAGTAACGTGTTCCTCATCATCTACAATCTGGCTGACGACAAGAGTGAGCTACATGCAGCTTTCAATCTAAATCAACGAAGAGTACTCCCGGGACCTTCCAGAATCGTGGTCTTTCTGAAAGAGGCATAGTATCTGAGCCGTCTTAGTGCAGTTTCGTTCTTGAAAGTTGAGTCTTACGGAAGCTTCTATGAATGGAACTTTGTCCTCATCATGGTGGACATGTAACAGAAGAATCAAGTTTCTAAATTTCTAGTTACCTTGTTCAGTAGATGTGACGATATTTACGCTTCACAACACAAACATAGTAATTCTAGAATGATTTCAGCGTGCCCCTCCTCTTGGTTGATTGTGAATTTTATGACCTATTGCCCTTTGCTTGACAAGCCTCTGTCTTTTGTTTCGGTGTAGCTTGCTACATAGTTCTATCAGAGGGTACGCTGAAACAATGAAATCTAATTCTACGGTTATCTAGAACCAGACGTAGACTTGTCGTCGATATCCTCTTCTGTTGGAGTGGCACGTACAGTACGTTTTAACATTGAAGAAATCTTCGGTTTCCAAACTATCATGTGGCACTGATTCGTACCACACCTCAAGCTTGTTTCGGCCGATGCGGTTCAGTTCAGGATTTTGATCGTGAAAAGTGTGGCTCAGGTGCGGTGTTTCAAAATATTCCTTACCAAATTTTGATGCACTTTTGTGTGGACAGATCATTCTCGCTGCCATAATTTATTATATGTAAGTCTTGCTCGTAAGTGTAATTTCGCCGTAATTCAGTGGCAGTACTGACATCACTGGTACACAACTCAAAGGTTTTTGTATGCATATACGTTATGACACCCTACCTATCCGGGCCAAGCAGCAGTTTTGAATGTTAAGTCGCACATGCACAAGGGATACTTTTCAGTCTTGATGACATGGCTGCTCCCATCTTGGAAGCGACTCTCGTGTGGAGCAGAGAGAGC